TATCCAGGAAGCTTCTCTGCATCTTCACTCTGCCTGCTGCAAATGTTAATTATTTCCAGGAAGAAAAACAGTTAGTTTGCTGCGCACTCATGGCCTGAATGTGCACCCTTGGCATGAGGATGTTGAGGAAGGTCATTGCCACTGGCTGGCAATYGACTCCAGAACAGGAGACACCACCCTTAAGTATACAAGGAGACAGGAAGACACTATCACTTGGATAACATAATCTTAACCAAACAGCAGTGCATGAACAAGGGCAGGCACAGGCACGAGTCAGGTCCCGTTCTCTCCTCACAGGGAAATGGAACCTCTGTCTCCAAGTAAGCAGGAAGTTACAGCTTGGATAAATAGTTATCCTTAAGACTTTCCTGGAGGCTATCTGCCTGACATTCTCTGGTGGCCTAGTCGGAGATGATGGGTCTTGAGGGGTTTTTTGGGCATGGCAATGCTTGGCAGTTTAGCAAATCCTTCCTGAAACTACTAGGAAAACTGTGGTAGAAGATTCTTGGAGAGGTTCCCAACCACGTAGTAGTTAGGGTAAGTAGATCATGTCTTGTTTTCAGGACTGAAACTAGACTAGAAACTTGAGTCTCATCCTAAACCCCTTCATTTCCCCTTTCCTCACTCAGTCATTTTTTCCCATGGCTGTGCTGTGGTTCACTATCCCTCAGCTGCCCCTATGACTTGAGAGCTTTGCACTATAATATGATCRCTGGAGTGACTCTGTTTATAAATAACAGCCTTCTGCTTTTTTTTCTCCCCAAAGGTTTATTTTTAGCGTGATGCAGCCCCTTGAGAGACTGTGGTGTGCATAAACAAGGTTGATGAAACCATATGTTGTACAGAGGGGGAAGAATTTTAGGTGGTTTCAATACTAAATAAAGTGAATCATGTAACGACTCCCTTCTGCATGGGCAGACCCTAATTTGGTGTCTGCCTGTTTCATTTTGCAAGAAAATAATGACCAAGTGCCAAGGGAGCTTAGCTGTCTTGAGCCACATACTGCACAAATGTCCAGCTGCCGGAGGTCATTGGTTCACTGAGGACATGTGGATTTCTGTGTTAGCTTCTTAAATATGTGGTGATCTTGATTTATGTTCTCTGGTCTAGAAGTTGGGTGTCTGCAGTGAAGGCTRCTTCTAATCTCGGACTAGGTTGTGCCTGGGGAAATGAGCAGCTAGCTAAGGGTTTCCTGTCCCTGCAGCACATAAAGGGCTTTACACCTTGATTCATTGGGCTGAGCGTGACAGAAGGGTCATCAGCCGTGGTACCGTAACTGTTATCTTATCTGAGTCCATTATCTCTAGCTACTGCTTTTTCAGTTGCAAAGAAATGTTGTGATAGGGGTAGGAATGGCAGATTCAGGCCCAAGGTCACTAAAGCCATAAAAAGCAGGAATATGAATAATCCAGTTACCATAGGCTGTCATGGTTATAAAGGTGGATATTCTGGAAACAGAGGCCATCTCTTAKGCTAGTATTCAGGTTGTACTTGAATGTTCACAGTGTTCCTCCACATCGTGGGCCAAAGAAGTTTTCTGTCTGTATCTTGTTTATGTAGATGGCACCGAAAATCATAGTGAGTTGGTGAAGGTGACTTGGCAGTCCTAGTTTATTGCCCCAAACTGGGTAGAGAAAGTACTAAATTACTAGTGATTCTGTTGTAAAGTGATTACTTCACTTTTTTTAACACCTCCAATTTGATAACATCAGTAAAGACATAGGAAAAGACTTTTATCAGTCAGATAAATAATTTGCCAAGAGTMAGATTAAAGGATCATGAAGATTTAAGTCTCTTGCATATAACCCTTAACTACTTCAGCTCAACTCTTATCTGGCTGATAAAGTTAATGGCAGTGTTTCTTACAGTTTATTAATTTTAATGCTCGCTGCTAAGTTCAAAGGTTGTCTAAGAGCAATATTGTGCTGTTAATTCAGACCCACAAATGCCCAAGAATCCCATCTCTCTTTGGACAGGCCAGTAGTAGTTCTCAGGAATGAAAGCAGAAGTGCAAAAGGCTGCTCTTGCTCTTCCTTGAGTATCTTGGGAGTGATGGGCGAGGCTGCRTTTCCAAGCCTTGGATATCTTTGCTGAATAGCAATATAATGATTTGTCAGAAAACACTTAAAGATGTTACCAAACATCACAAAATGCTGGTAACTTGATGCTCTGTGGAGTCTTGTATTGCCTGTTTTAAGCACAAGCTTCCCGGCCCTTTTTGTCTCCGCTTGCTTTTGTAAAAGAGGTGGGTGGTGTTAGGGACGTTCATATTTTGTATTGTCTGTTGCTTAGTATTCAGAATGATCATCAGAGGATGGGGGGGCTGTTAAATGGTTTCGGGGGCTGTGAAAATGAACTTAGTAGCATAGCATGTAATCCTGCAAGTGATACATCCAGTTGTAGTTGTTGAGWAGATGTAGGGTCTCTCTTAAGTGCGTATTCAGAATTACTTGTATGTCAGTTTGTGCCCACTGCTGCTGTCCTGTGGCCCTGACCTCCATGAGGTTCCTGTCTGCCAGTTTCTCCAGGCAGTACCATGTGCAGACTGTACCATGTGCAGACTGCTTGAGCGTGTCCTCAGTCCGCTCATCTAGGTCATAAATGAAGATGTTAAACAGCATTTGGCCGCAGTATCAACCCTGGGTTGCATTACCCATGACTGGCCTTCAGCTAGACTTTGAGCTGCTGCTGGCTGCGACTCTTGGAGCCTCTTGGCATTTCAGCTTGTTTTCACCTCGCTGTTCACTTACCTAGCCTCCACTTTGTTAGCTTGGTTTCACAGAGYGATTAAAAAGTCATTTTAAAGTCTGTTTCTTTCTTTCCATGGAGCTACACATGTGCTGTGAGCTCTGCTGCTTAGAGACACTGGGATAAACAGTTAAGTTTGCTGTGTGCACTCCCTGTCTGGCCACCAAGGGCATCTGTGGCTGTTAAATCTTGCTCGTGGCTCTTAGAAATTGGTCTGCTGGTCATCTCTGCAGCTTCACTGGGCAGGAGTCAATGCACTAGCATTTGTGGATAGCTCAGTGTCTGTGACAGGCGCAGAATAGGAGTCTAGCAGTTAGCTAGACATTGATATGGAAAATCGAGCCTAAAGATATGTGAAAGGCATTGCTCTAACTCCAAAATAATGTCTGTGTGATGATAGGAGGCTGAGAAAGAAGCATAGGGCTGGTTGGATGGGGATTGAGGGTTGAATGATCCTGTTCTGCTGCTGCCTGCCTCAAAACCCACAGACAGGAAAAGAAGCTGTGTAATATAGTAATGCTAAGAGATGCTGTTTGTTAAACAGTAGCATCACAAAGGATTCAGGCTTCAAAGTGAGCTGAAACCATGGAAAAAAAATGCAAGAGAAGCTTAAAAAGTGTTTCAGGAGTGCAAAGAAAATGTAACTAGGTAGTTAGCTCTGATAGCACCCTTAGCATGGTACTGTTCTCACAAAGAAGTTTTAGATATCTTATTTCACGGGATAATGCCATGGTAAATATGATGTAAAAAATTAAATTTGGGTAAAAATATCCCTTTCTGACTATCTAGGCAAAATGTGGCTTACATACTCATGAGAACTGAAGAGATGCTAAGCCATGCGCCTTCTAAAAGGGAAAGAACCGTAAGCCATGGGTTGGGTGGAAAATTCCAGCACCTTTGTCCGACTGAAGGGCTCTGTAGTAATAGGGATGTTTTGATGCTGGGCAGAGTATATTTGCTGAGTCAGGCTGCTGCACCAATAACAGTAAGCTCTGTTTGAGTGTTTAGCTGATAATTTATTTAATTTTTGTGCAGTTACCCCTTTCTAGGAAAGTATTGATGTACAGTTAAAAAATGGAGCACCTCTGGGTCAACTGTCATGGTTAAAGGCAAATATATTTTAAAGTGCCTTGCTGGACTTGAGCCCAAGAGCTGCGTTCAGAATTAGGACTCTGTTTCTTGTAACTTCAGAAGATCAAGTTGTGACTAGTATCTCTATCTAGATTAGAATAACTGTGGTAAGATTCAGTTTAAATGTATATATTTTCTCATTATTTAATTCCTGGCAYGTTAAAAACATGTATTAGTATGTTTACTTCCTATTTTTCCCCAGAAAAAATGACTGTATCTGTTGAGTCAGGCCCTTCCAGACATTTCGCAAGTTGAAGTTTCTTACTTGTTGACAAATTTCCTCTCCAAGAAGGCCCAGCAAATCAGTCAAAAGGAGGGGAAAATTTTGAGCACGCTCCCACACAGCGTATCAGTTCTAATGACTTGTGTCTGTGCATGGTTATTGTAGAAGCATTTTGGCCAATTCCTGTTCTGATTCCTCCAGGGAAGAACATTGGCACTGGTGGGTAGAAGGGGTTGCATTCCCTTGGAGTGGGCTCWGGACTGAGAACAGCAGTAAGTGGCACAACCACTGAAAGGGTAAATGTTTGAAAATTAGGGTATTTGCCTCCTCGAGACACTTGCTGTCTGGTAGAAGAGCCCTATGAAACCGAGGGAGAAAAACTCAAGTGGACACTCCTAGGAAGAAGCTGGCGCTCTAGGGGAAAAGTAGTGGCTTTATCAGTGTTAAAATAGGAGTTCTCTCTTCTGGAGATGGATGTGAGAGCTTTAAGTAAGCAGGAAGTAACTCAGCAATAAAGTAATCTTCCTTAGATACTGAGATCTCTCTCTAAAAATGAGGAGGGAGATAGCAGATAATCATTAATATGACCTTCCAATTTTGTGTTTCTATAATTACTCAGAGTAAATAATGCAAATCCTTTCTTTACCTAAGAGAAGCATAAAGATAATGACTGCTGCCATTATTTACTAAAGATCCTGAGTGTGATCTTTACTGCTGTCACACAGGCTTGTGTGCATTTACATTTCACCAATCAGTGCATTTACATTTCATTCACAGGACTTGTRTCCAGCTTGTCAAAATTTGCTTTCTAAAAGGAAATGCCAAACCACAGGTTCAAAAAATAACATTCCGTGATGAAACTTTTTTTGTATGTGGCCAGGTTTTCCCAAGGAGACTGTGGAACTTCTGCCTTCGTTCGTGCTCTCTGAGCTCAGCTATGGAACATGCTCAAGAACATGAAGCCTGCCTTGAGCAAGCCCAGAAGTATCATGTGGAGAGACCAGTATATAACCAAGAGCTCTTGGAAGGGCAGCTGCACAGACGGGAAAGAACAGCTCAGACTTTTGGACARCGGGTTGCCCATTCTTGTCGGTATGGTTTGGGGTCTTAACCTTTATTTTGTCTCTTAAAACCTTGGTTATTCTTAGTTGGTTCGTATACATAGCAGGTAATTCCCTTGAAGCAACTTAAAAGATAAAAAAAGGCGGGTTTAGTTTGCTTATTCAGCAAGATTGTATAAAATTTTAAGGGTTTTTAAAAGCTTATCCATTGCAGTGTTACATAGCGTTGGATAAATTAGTTGACTTGCCTTTGTCAAAGTGAAAAGGAAAAGGAAAAATGAAGAAATCTGAAGTGTTAGTCCAATCACCTGACACACGAGTTCATAAGTCTTAAATACAAGAGCCAGAAAAATATCTGCCCTTTTTATGTGGAAATACATGTGGCCAAATTCGCGCTTCACATGATCCTTTCTCAGAGGAAGAGTGGGAACATGTGACTGCTGTGTAGAGATCTAAATTATTATCCTAATGAGGACTTCCCAGAGATGCTCTGCCACTTCTAACCAATTGCTTTGGAATCTAAATATCCTCTATTTAGACAGGAAATAATATTTTAAATGAAACTGTGCATCTCTTGCTCCATTAGAACCAGAGGAGAAGGAAGAGCAGCTTCTGCCAGTTAGGTCTTCGTTAACTTTACACTTACCAGTGCTTCATTTGCACAGTTGACTCAATTTTGTTTCTAAACCTTGCTCTGCAAGACAACAGATAGTTTCTGACTGGCTGCCTGTCTGTTAAATATGTCCAAAATTGACATTTGGAGCCTTGCTTTGATTTAATGAAGTGGCTGTTCCAATGGTAGTGACTCCTAATAGCACCTCAGGAAAATGGGTCTATCCTAAATTAATCAAAATGCAGAGTTTCCACAGTTCAGTCTGCTTATACAAGGAGAAGTATGGATGCCTCTCGTTCCTCTCCCACATGTAGTAATAGATTTCTTTATTTCACTTAATACAGTAAAAAATGGAAAAATTTTAGCAAATTTCTGCAATTCTCTTGCAGTGAAGGATTTCTATGCTTTTAGTGCTATATTTTTACCCAAGGTTGCACTTTTTCAACATTGTGTCATCCAAGTATGGTGCCTTGGAGTGCTGGATATAGAACTTTTTTTCCTGGCCCTAATCATTTGTAATGACCCAGGATTTCAAAAGGCTAGTAACTCTATTACAAGAAACAAGGATCAGTCTTGCTGACTTTAGTGTCTTTATTTTCAGAGTAAGGAAAGGGTATGTGTTTGAACTGCCTTAAAAATAGCCTATTAGTATCAGTGATCTGAAAAGCTCTAGTAAAATAACAGTAACAATATGAAAATAGTATAAAATACTATAATATAGAATTTAAGGATTAAAATAGCAAATAAAAATAGTAAAAATTGTGAAGTGCTTGGAGGTCCATGAGTGAAAACACCTTCAAAAAGCAAGTTGTCCTCAAGGGATTGTTGCTATAGAAATGATCTCAACAAAAACTCTTGTGTGACTGCCCAGTGCAGTCCTGTGCATGGGTCTGAATAGTTTCCCTTCCAGCTGAAATCCAGTCACATGACTGTGCTTTTCTCCAGCTCCGTAAGTTTTATTAGCAGTGTCAACATGTGATAAATTAGCAAATTAACCAGCACTGTGGTTGTTTCTTGCTTAAGCTTAGTCGCTGTAATCAGGGCCCTGAGCCTTCCTTTAATGGTGCTGTTTCCCTGGACAGGGATGAAAGGTATGATTTTCTTTTCCCCTTTTGCTTTCTGTAAGTATCTAACTTTTTCTGCTTTCTGTTTGCAGTTGTTCTTCAAAGAAGGCCAAGTCTCATCTTTACAGTTTCTTACCCATTTTAAAATGGCTTCCCCGCTACCCAGTGAAGGAATATTTATTAGGAGATATTATCTCAGGTATTAGCACTGGGGTTATGCAGCTGCCTCAAGGTGAGTGTCTCTGAGTTTTATGTGCTGGGATGGGTTTTCTTTATTTTGCTTTTTCCAGGTATGTTTTCTTATGATAGTGCTTAGCTTCCTGAACAGGTACCCAGGCAGTACTTGGAGGTGAGTACAACACTCTGCAAACCATCCCATAGTGATGACTGCCAGAAAACTGCAGGTCAGTGGTAGGCAGCAAACTCTCCGCAAGAAGGTTACTGCTCCCACCAGTACCCACAGTTCTCACCCACAGAATTACTTTTCACAGCTTAAATACATGTTCAGACCTTTTTTGAGTATAGCCCAACATCTTGTGATCTCTTGATTTGTATGATCTGATCATGAAAGTTGCTACAAAACTCTCTCCAGAGCACATCGATATCAAATACTAGATATAACCCACCACGGAGATGGTATCCTATCAGAGAAGCAAGTGTTGTGAAGCAACTAAACTAAAGCAAATTGGAGAAAAAATGTGCAGAAAGCTGGAGACTGATCACTTCGTTAAGGAAGTCACTTGGTCACTAGCTGGAGCATGGTACTGGGCAAGGATTTACAGGTGGAAATAAGTCAGGTGGAGCTTTTGTATAAATTATTTGGAAGTTTCACCCCCCCAGTGCAACCAGACTCTGAAGAAGGGGCAGGTCCTGTGTTTGCTCTGTCATTTCTTGGTGGCAGCACCAGTGCAGCCTTTCCATTCAGCCTGCCACTTGGCTATTAGCTGTTTCACACCCCATGCTTTGGACACTGTTCTTCTGGTGGCCATCACCGCTCTGGGAATGGCAGCTCTGCAGCTGCTGCTGCAGTCCCAGCAGCTCCTTCTGGAAATCCCAGAATGGAGAGAATTCAAGAGTTTGTTCAGCATCAAATCCAGTAACCTCCTCAGCTTTCTTGGGTCTTCCTGATTTTCTTGCAATGCAAAGAGCAAGGCAGTTAAGTGTACCTGAGCTGACTTGTTTTTAGGCTTATATCATATTTCCACCCCACGCATTCKTCTTCAGGCTGAGGCAGGTCTAAAGAGGAATTAGTAAATCTAAGAAATCCAGGTTTTAACCGATTAAAGCAATGGAAGATCCCAACTTAGCCTGTGTAGTTGACTCTCTTTTTGTTGTTTTGTTTTCTTTTTTCTACCCTGCAGCTTCCTGCATTTGGTCTTTTTCCTTTTAAGATAATCTAATATTTTTTTTTCTTGTACAGATAGAAGCATCAGTATAAGATAAACTGATAAATTGGTGGTTAACTGGAGAAATTTCTGTCTAGCAAATCTGTCAAGGACTTGGGCGCAAGCGTTACCAGTTGTGCCCTGAAACAGTCTGTGATGACAACTTTATGACCAGATAGGGTTTAAGTGGTCAGCAGTGAACCTTATACTTAAGTTTAAGCATTATTCTTTCCAGTGGTGATTACAGACATGTCCTTGAACTGATCTTTCCCTTTCTAACAGGCCAAATGCAGGGATTTTCTTTTTTTTTTTTTTTGTATTTTTCTTTTCTCTGAAATGGATGTGCTCATGGCAAACATGAGCCCAAAGCAGCCTAGGAATCATTCCAGGCAGAACTGTGATGAGCAGAGGGTTTGGCGAGTGAACTCTTGTCATGTCAATATCTCTTTATTTTTCTGGCAATGACAGCTCTTAAAAAAAGGCCAATACAAATAAAAAGGAAAGGGAATGAAAGGACACTTGGATCAGGAACTCTGCATAGATCCACACTCCTATCCAAAACCACTAGTTTTCATTTTAGTCATTTCTACTGATAATTCTACCACCATACTAAAGGCCAGGTTAGTATAACACAGGGTGTTCTGCTATTGCTCTTAGCATGAGGTGGTTCCTGTGCCAGGTGGGGTGAATTTCAGAAGTACCTAGTGAAAAACTTCTTGTTGCAGCAGAATAGATGATACCCCCAATCTAGCTCTTTGGCAAATATGAACCTTGTGGGTGGGTGTCAGACCTTCAGGGCATGAACCAAGGCTCTGTGAACTATTAAACAGCACAAGAGATGACCCCAAATATCATCATTTTGTCATCAAGCTTCATTCTCTCAATTTAAAAATAAATKAATACAGAGAAGTATTAGGAGGAACCATCTTGTTCTCCTTCGTGGGTGAACTGTGGCCAGCTATTTCTGTGCTGGCCTGGGGAGCAATTCTGTCCCGACAGGGCCCAGTCCTCCTGAGTGTGACAAGAACCCTCAGCTCCCTCATGCATCGTCCTTCAGTCCAAGCTCACAAAGTGAACTGGAGAATCAAGCCCAGCTGGGATGTGGCGTTTTCCTCCCTGGCTGCAGGGGAGGGAGCAGGACTGAAGAGAGGTCCTGCTGTGTAATCCTCAGTAGGGCAAGTTGTGCACAAGAGCCATTTGGTGGCACTGCTCAGACCAGGTGTCCCATGTTGTGCAGTTTGCTCCCCTGGAAGGCATGTGCATAATCACTCTTAAGAGGAGCACTATGGCAAGTGTCCCTTGGTCACCTCCAAGGTGGCCTCCCATGAAGTCATTCCCAGCTTCCTACCCACCCATGGGACTTGCAGGGACCCCACACTCCTTGCGTGAGCCTTGACACACCGTGAGAAGAAAAGGATTCGTTCTCTGAATGCTGTGAGGAGTCAGGGGCTGTGTTAGCTCCCTCGCCTTACAGCTCATAAGCACTGCTCCCCTGTTTATTTTATATTTTGGAACGTAAATATATTGAAAGCATAAATATAATTATGCTTTGTGTAAGCATAAGCCCATATGTCATCACACTCATTCTGGAGTGAATGGAGGGGGCAAGAAAATGATTTATCAATCGTAGATCTCTGCGAAGGTCGCATGAAAGAGGATGAAAAAAAGCAGGCAGGTTCTKCTGGGGAGGTGGTTATACCTTTTTTTAACAAAAGCAACAAAGTTTGGCTGTTCAGTTAGCAGCTTGCAGGTTAACCAGAACTGGGAGTGTGTGTGTGGGCACACACGTGTGAATGTTAACACATGTGGGTATTTACATACATGCACACACGGTGTCTGTGATCACAGGCCTGAATCAACCTGAATCAGCCCACTCACGTTCGGGAGCACTGCCCTGCCGCATAAATACATATTTAACAACATTCCTGCAAGGTGTTTCTTAACCTATGATATGTCACTAGTGTTCATATTAGCTATGTTCTTTATTAGTAGACTTAAATCTTATTGTTACAAATGGTTTCTCTTTCTGTTGTTTATCTGATATATGTATTTGTGTCTGTTTTCTAGGTTTAGCCTATGCTTTGCTGGCAGCTGTTCCCCCAGTATTTGGCCTATATTCTTCATTTTATCCTGTTTTTCTATATACTTTTTTTGGGACCTCCAAGCACATATCAATAGGTATATCTGTATGGATAATAAAGTGTGTGTGTGTGTGTGTGTGCATGCATATGTGTTTAATACAATGCAAAAGATGGAACTAGAGACATAGAAAATATAGCTGTTTTATATAAATTCAAATTAAGTGAGTAAGAGAAACATAAATGTGTCAAAAAATCAGCAATATTTTGTAAATGTATCACTTCTACTTAGGAAGGAATAGAATAGTTGCTTGCACCAGGTTAGATCCGGAGATATATGTTGTCAGCTCCTGAGCTTTAATTTTAACTCACAGACAGCTGTCTATGTGACCAGTATTATTCTTTCTTCTGCATAATAGAAACTGAGATAGGAAAAATGATGGATTTAGCCAGTGTAGAGGTACCTGTTCAACGTATAAATTGTTCTGTTGGTGCTGAATACTGGAGCAAACGGTGGGAATAAAATACGACATTTAGATAGAAAACTTTGCAACGTTTTAATTCTATAGATCTGTGCAAATCCTAGTGAGGAGGCCTAAGAGTGCCCCTAAAACAAACTAATCTCCTCCCACCAAAGGAGGAAAAAAAGGAATTTTAGCTGCTGACTTTGTTCTGCGGTTTGTTCCAGGCACCTTTGCAGTGATTAGCATGATGATYGGCGGGGTTGCGGTGAGGGAGGTGCCTGACGAGGTGGTTTCCGTGGGCTACAACGCTACCAACATCACGGAGCTGCTGGCCTCTCGGGACGCCAGGAGGGTGCAGGTGGCTGTGGCCCTCGCGCTGCTTTCGGGCATCATCCAGGTGTGTTCTTGCTGCAGGGCAAGGTCAGATGTTGCTGCCACCCTTGTGCTTCCAAGGGGAGCTTGGTGTGGTGCTTCCCTGTGAGTAAATGGGTGTTTCAGCCCTGCTCTGTGCAGGATCCAGGCTGCATCGGACCAGCCTCACAGCAGCAGCTGGATGCTCTGGGAACAGGTTTTGAGCTGGGTGTCTCAGCTGGGACAGGAAATACGAGACCTCCCTCTTGGTTCTTCCTGTCCCCCTCAGAAAAACTGCCCCGATGGTCCCCTGCCTGTCTATAGATGTGTCCAAACACGGACATTTAACCATATCTGCTCTTGCACCAGCCAGGGGCATGGAAGATGGGATCACTGAACTGGGGCCTTAAAAAGGCMAAATTTAACAGGCCCAAAAGGCTGAGTTTAACAGGCCCTAGAAAGGTCTGTCTGAGCTGACTTGGRCATCAACCTAAGGAGTGCCCTGTGGTCTATGTTCTGCCCAGTGCTGCTATTCAGCCACGTTGTTCATCTTTCTTTTTTCATCAGTTGTGTTTAGGTCTGCTCCGGTTTGGCTTTGTAGCCATCTACCTAACGGAGCCTCTGGTGCGAGGATTTACTACTGCTGCTGCCGTCCATGTCTTCACTTCTCAGTTAAAGTATCTGCTTGGAGTGAAGACCAGCCGCTACAGTGGACCCCTCTCAGTTGTCTATGTAAGTTACTATATTTRTTAAAAATAAGATTCCCCAGTATCAAGTATTCCCCAATACTTAAGGCTTTATCTTTTTTTTTTTTTTTTTAATATTTTAGCACTAAGTAGAAGAACTATTTAGTATTTAAAACTGGGAATGAAATATCTTTACTTACGAGTAATATAAGAGCATGCGAAAGTGCTGTTTTGGTGAGAGATGGTAGTTGAACACAGGCTGAGATGGGCAGATTTTAGGAATCTACTAAAKGTAATTTTGTTACATGGGCAAATGTCTTTTGGAGCCAATCTCTTGTGTATTTTGGGAGAGGTTGTGTGCTATTAATTAAGCTATCCTCCAAAATAAATATTTCACCCTATAAACCTGACGTGTTTCTTAAAACTAGTGAGTGTTCTCAGAATGTTTTCCAGTTACGTGTCTCACAGTTCCTGATGGATGTGTTCTTCATGTCCCRTTTGTAAGCAGCCGTGGAGTGTGGCTGGACACAATGTGCTGGGTTGTCACAACGTACCTGTTCTTTGGAGCAGTGGAAAACAAACTGTTTTGAAAGACRGGCATTCAGTGGAAAACACTGCCCTTTATTAAAGATCCTAAACGTTAAACTGGTCGTTTGGAGCAAGCATGACCCAGGATTTGACACCGTTCACAGCTTGATCTMCCACTCACTCTCTGTAATACATAGTGATAAAAGAGCATCTGTGCAGTATAAGGCTATGATTTGATCAGTACAAGTTAAGTAAAACTAGAACCTCTTGGTCRCACACATTTAAAATTGACAGTTGGATTCTGAAAAAAAATCTGCCAGTCCAGGAAGCCCCAARTTTTTTTCACAGAATCAATATTCTGATCTTAAAGGTCAGAAATCTTGAGTGGAGGAATAGGAAGGATCTCAGACATCTGCAAAAAAAAAAAAAAATCTTCTGAGTAAGTTGATGGCTCAACGATAAAGAAGCTTCAGTGTTTCAATGGCAGGAGTGGAATCTGTAGACAAACGGTGTGTGAAGCTGTCTTGAATATTTGTGCACATGTAAAAAGCCTTTCGAAACAGGGCTGCACTGGTGCTGGTTTCTAAATTTGCTCTTTAGTTCCCTAATGCAGAAATAAAATATAATAACTGTCCAGCAATGCAAGGTCTATATTCAAGGTGAAGTGCTAGGACTTTGGTAATGTCCCTTTGATAGCTGCTGTAGTTTGYCTTCCATCTAAAGAAGGGTTTGCACGTCTTTGTTCAAAGACTTCTCTACRGATCATTCACTTCATTTTTTAAATGTAGTAGAAGGAATAGGAGGAGTTGTTGCTGRGGGATTGTTTGCCAATTCTCCTGGCCGTCTGTGCATTCCAGCAGGTTTCCTTTCCTGACCCCCTTTCTAACAGTATTTTTCAAGCAAAACTTATTTGGGACATTGGCCAGTTCAGCAATTTTGCAAGGTCGTTGTTACCCAAGGGTATTGCTGTGGTAACCCCACTGGCTGTATCAGCCCTTCTTTGTTTGTTTGTTTAAGGTTAAAATGACTAATGCAGCTCTAAATAGATGTGATTTGCCAAAGAATATTTGAAGGTATTAGAACGAGTTGGCATTTATTGCCTTGAGGTAGCAGCCAGTGTGAAATTAGTGTGAAACTGTTAAGGGTAAAAGAGAGGCTTTAGTTCAGACTTTTTTTCCACGCAAGAAGGATTTTTTTCCTCCAAATTTTTGTCCCTTTTTGCTAAGATTGATGTTATAAGTGACTGTAAGGACTTTGTTTTTCATATATAAATAAAAAATATATTTTATATATATAAAAACTTTGTATTTTATATGGGTGGTGGATTTTGGGGGAGGCACTGATTCCCTGTGGTGGTAAATGCAGAATAAAAACCTCAGCCAAACAGCAATGTATAGTTTATAACAAATTGCTAGAAAAGATGAATAAATTCATCTCATCTTCACAAATGAACAATTGTGATATTTCTGCTTTGTTCCAGAGCATAGCTGCTGTGTTTTCAGCAATCACAACCACCAATATTGCTTCCTTGGTAGTTGGGTTAACGTGCATTGTTTTGCTGCTGATTGGCAAGGAAATCAATCTCCGGTTTAAGAAGCAGCTCCCAGTTCCTATTCCTATGGAGATCATTGTGGTAAGTTGGCTGGGAATGGCAGGTTTCTGCACATGCTGTTCAAGATACTTTGGTTTTTGAGAAGTCGTGTTAGGAGGGAGTCACCCAGAATGTGGTGGTGAAGGCATTCCTGGCTTGAAGTTGTAGGGCTGAATTCTGCAGCTACGCTAGAGCTGCAGAAATGATCTGTCATGTTGGAACAGGCTTTAGAATAACTTCTGTTGGACACCATCCCCTATACCAATGGCTAGCAAGACATTTTTCCAAAAAAGTGCTCTGTCCTGGAACTTAAGCACTTGAATGAGTCTCTGCAAAACATTTCTGTGAGTAGCATTTTTCACCTAAGAGTCTGAAGAGCTCAGAATCCCTCTCCTGAAAGAAGATACCTATGGATTCCTCTGTTTCAGAGGTTCTGCAGGGCTTAGATTTTTTTCTTAAAAAGCAATGGTGGAAAGAGGAAGATAAATTGGTACAAGTTTTATATTCCCTTTACCTTTTTTTTCATCTGTTCCTGAGACTCATTTCTCTGTATTTTAGAGCAGTCATTCAAAACAGCATCGATGCTACAGTCAATTGCCAGAATATCTTAATACAAAGTTTATGTCTCAGGTAGCTGAGAATACGTTTTAAATTCAGGTATTTGTGAAGGCAAGTTAACTAGAGCTCTCAAACAGCCTGCACAAAATCAGCTGAGGAAGAGAATGACTGAGGGCAGGGGTGCAGCTGAGGTGGAAGGAACAGAGAGAGGAGTGCTATTGAGAGGGGGTGATGGTGATGATGTGCTAGAGTGTTGCTTGGCAGTGAGATTCTTAAATCTGTAACTGTCCCTGCTGCTGAATCAGTTGTGTTTATCACTAACGTGCAGGTTATGCACAAGAGAAGATGGCAGTGTGGACCTCACTGCCTTGTCTTTACAATTTATTTCCTTTAGAATAGCACTGTGTGTGGCATTGTAGCTGGGTTTGMCTCAAGTGAGGAGACTCAAGTGATTCAGATCATACCACATGTTCCACTTGATTTACAAAAAACTTCATAAAAGCAGTGGGGGGGTGAAAGTGATGAAATGAAGATGTTGAAACTTTCTCCATTTTATCTGTTTCTCTACCTGCTCAGAAAGTCTTTAAAAGCTGATTGACAAATAAATTCAAGTCCATAAGTGTGTTATCCCTAATTATTCCTTCAGGTGGCTTTGTCTCTGTCTAGCTGATGTTTAGAAATGTTTGTGTTGGCTTTCAGGTAATTATTGGCACAGCAGTTTCAGCTGGAATGAATCTGACTGACACATATGGAGTGGATGTGGTTGGGAATATTCCTCAAGGGTAGGGTGATATATTCTCATTCAAAATATACCTTTTCCATATGTGATGGAGTTTTTATTATATTAAATTATAACCATTTCATCTCCAAGGTTACGTGCACCAAAAGTTCCTGAGATCCACCTCATTCCAACAATATTTGTGGATGCAGTAGCTATAGCAATAGTTGGATTTTCAATGGCTGTGTCAATGGCCAAGATCTTTGCACTCAAACATGGTTACACCATTGATGGGAATCAGGTAATATTTGGGTTGTTTTTTATTTAAAATTCTCAGTACTACCTTTGTTTCATTGTTAAACCAGGATGGGGTTTTAGACAAAGCTGAGCTTTTCTTTCATTGTGGAGTCAGGTCAGAATTTAAAATTCTACAGGGTATCCAGATTCATTTCTAGCTTTCTGGTTTTGTGAAACTTGCTTCTGATAAAGGTGGAAAAGTGCATGAATATTAGATTTCTGGGCCTGTTTCTTAGCCTGCCTTCGGTGCRGTTGTGTAGTGATCCCTGTCCTTGGTAGATGCTCGTTACACAACATGTGCTGTTTACTTTTTGTAATARAGGAAAGCATAGAGATCCCATATGATAAATAGAAAGTTTTATGTACAAGAGAACTCTTATATCTGCTTTAGAAAATGAAGTGATACTTTACAGGTGCTTAAGATTTSCCCTGTTAATCCCTCCAAGCAGAAACCCATCAAAACATCATTGCTTTTTATTTCYGTGTGTTCCAAATAGGCAACTCCTCATTCCCTAGGGCAGTAATTTGCCCTCGTTAGCATAATGATTGAATTCTTCCCCCTTCCAAAGGGGCCATCTTCCTCTGACCATAGATGGAGTTTAAATGACTTTTACCTGTAGAGTTCTGCAATTGGACGGATCAATCTGATCCTTCATATCACTGTTTTCTCTTACCCTAAGAGATCAAGGGGACAAATGCGTAACAAGTATTAATGGGCACAGCTCTTTAGCTAAATTGTCATTGAGTATCTAGTTCTCTTTCTTCAGCACCTTCAGCATCTGCTTCTTCGCCTGTTAAGCCATAGAACTCCTCGCTACAGGATATAACACAGGTGGTGTTTAAATGGAGCAAAAGGGTTTGAACAAACTCAAAAGGAAAAACCCAGGGAGAGCTATTAAACAACTCCAGTGCCTGGGTTCCAGGTTACAGGGCACAGAATATTCTGGGGCAATAGCATTACAAGCTGCTGCTTTGCATCACTTCTTGAGCACCTGCTCTTGCCCAAGGTCAGGAACGTGGTGTTGGGGTAGGGAGCTCGGGCCTGGCTCATGTGGCTCCATTTTTCGTGTGGGATCTCTCTGATAAGCAACGTGCACACGTTGGCTCTGTTTCGTGGAGAGCTACAGATCACTTACCCAAAGAAACACAGGCAAGACCACTGCTAGTGTTAATGGTATTAAATACATAGTATAGAGCAGGGAGTTGAGAACAGCATTTACATAAGAAACCATTTTCCATGTAATTTCAGTGTTAGGATTCAAGCCAAATGAGCTGAAGAAATCATTAAAAGAAGCAATTTTCATTCATTTTAGCTTTCAGCCTTGCTCTCTAAGATCCTTTAAAGGCTCTTTAAAGTTGGCTAATGTCTCCATCAYGTAATGGAATAGTTTATTTAATAGATGATTTTAACACACATCAACTTGTGCACGTGTGAGAACTGCAAATATAAACTACAATAAACTGGCTAGAAAGGAATAAAAATAAGAGATAGTTCATGCTCTACTTGGATGGCTCCACCTTCATACAGCTGTTCAGTATAACTGCCTCTTGCTCTGCTCTGTTGTTTGACACAGGAACTTATTGCCTTGGGAATATGCAACTCCGTGGGCTCTTTTTTCCAGAGCTTCTCAATCACTTGCTCWATGTCTCGGAGTCTCGTTCAGGAAAGCACTGGTGGGAAAACTCAGGTACATAAATTCACGTTTTGAGCCCAACCAACTCCTCTCTTCACAGCCCACAGCTCAGACCAGTAGCTTCATGTGGTAGCCAGGCTTGTTTGTGTGGGGCCTGAAAGATTAACTCCTTTTCCACGCTCCAAATCCAGGCTGGACGGGGACGGAAGGCTGCGTGAACGCAGTCAAATGGAGAGGGGGGTGTCAAAGGGCACAAGCACAAAAAGCACAGTAAAGGTTGGCTGCTCAGGACTGTGCCTTGGGGACACTGCTTCATGCCCAGACATCGTTTCTTGCCTCTTGTGTCCAGGTTGCAGGTATGCTGTCTTCAGTCATGGTTCTCCTGGTAATTGTGGCGATTGGCTACCTCTTTGAACCACTTCCACAGGTAAGGGAGCTCGGCCTGCTCGGCCCTGCATGTCAGGGAACAGAAACCAGCTCTTACTGATTGAAGTAAAGGTTGCAGGATGGTCAGTAAGTAAACACAGTAGGCCTTGACCCAGAAACCTTTAACATTTGTCTACATTTTTACTGTAAGTTAGACTAATATAGTCTAACTAGACTAATAGATTAATAAATACTTTGAAGGATCCAGAGTGTTTTTTGTTGTTGTTGTTTTTAATATTGGACATTCTGGATTGTGTTTCTGGGACACAAAAGTCATCTCTCTATTCTGTTTTCAGGATAGAAATTATGGGAAGAGGTAAAAAATTAAAGGAGTAGATCAGCTGGGAAGGGTTTGAGTCCCAATATGATGACTTCTTGTTGCTTTTGCAATTTTACTTATATTTGTATAAAAATGGGTTTAGGTGAATGACTGTATTCGGATCCTAGAAAGAAGCAGCTTGGTTGTGGTGACACGTACCAGCTGATTCGCAGCTCCTGGRTTTTCCAGCTGCTGTAGGCCCTGCAGGCAATAAATCAGGAGAGTAAATCCAGCTGTGCTCACAGTGTTGCCATCCCTGTGGCTGCAGCAAGAGCACAGGTATCTCGTGTTGTTTAAATGGAACATACAYTTAGTTGACTTCCATCAGCTATGCACAGCACAGAAACACAGCTGGGTTGGCCTTGAGACGTTCTCACGTGGCAGTGGTTTCAATTTGCTTCTGAAAGTGTTTGTGCACTCTTGTAGACTGTGCTAGCTGCAATTGTCATGGTGAACCTGAAGGGCATGTTCAAACAGTTCGGAGACGTCGCGCACTTCTGGAGGATCAGTAAGATTGAGCTGGTGAGTGGTGCACATGTGTCGGTGTCCTGAGTTTGTTTCCAGTCCTCCTATTCCCCAAAACAAAGTAGGAATTACCAAGTGGATAAAGATTGGTTGTTGTCTTGCACATGGTTGTAAGACATGGAGCGTTAGCGCTAGGAAAGGGATCTGGTGCAGAMAGGGCCTTTTAGTTGTCATCTAACAAACTGGCCTTTGCTGCATGTCAGAAGTAGTTTGAGTGCAGTAAAAGCAAAGCTTCTCCTATAGTGTTGCTTGCTGTATGGCTGCAGCGTTGCTACAGGAAGTGCACGGATTCCTGTGGGAATGTCTGAGGAGATTTTGGAATAGAAAATAACAAGGAAAAGTACCTGAGTGTTTGTGATCTTTTAAGACCAATCAATAATGTGGAGAGGACCAGAACTAAGAGCTCACCTCAGGGAACGATTTGGTAGCAGCCCCTCCTGTGTTAACTGTCAGCTGCAGAGGTTGTCACTGACCCAAACCAAGCTGGGAGCTGCTACAGCAGCTGTGAGGATACCAGGTTGCTTCTGGGGAACTTGGAAACGAGGCAGAGATCCCAGAGTACCTACCAGCAGGCTGTGACCCTCTGGAGTAGATCCGTAGCCCTAAGCTGTCCGCAAGCACAGGATGATTTCTGTGTCCCCTGGCCAGCAGAGAAGTGCTCGGTGAGATCTGAGACATGGCTTGCTGGTCCTGCTGGCCTGCTGGCCCAGTCCTGCTGGCCCAGAGACACAAGCAGAGGGTGACACACAGAGCTCGGTGCCACTGAAGCCCCAGGTTCTGCCTTCCCCAGCTGCAAGCTCCACTGGGCTTTTCCTGACTCCCTTCCCATGCAGGGGTTGCTCTCCTTGACTCCTCCACAGAGACAAGGCTGGTTATTTGGAGTTCCCATGGCAGATCTTCTCTTGGGTGTTTGCTAAATACCAGTCCTTGCCACAGGACCAGGCTTGTGCCTCAGCCAGAGATGGACACGAGAGCTGCTCGTAGGCCCTGGACTCTTTGTTTTCTTTTTAATTCTAAGCTATTGCAAGTCCAGAAGTCCAGTGGGAACAGGGTATCCTTTGAAGAAGAGGCTTTAGTTCATTAATTGGTGTGTTACAGTGAAGTTGTCAGATGATATGTTAGCAGGTCTTGAGCATTTATGCCTCCCTCAGAGATTAAGACCATATAATGTTCTATCAGGAAGATTACTGCGCTAMAGCCTAGAAGTGATCACATGTATTTTAGGTCGAATCATGCTATTGTTTTTGTTAACAGAAATGGATTCATCATAATCATAATAACTCAGAGCTTCCTCTTTCTCTCTCTCCCTCCCTTTGTGTTTCTATTTTTTCTGTTGGTTTTTTTTTTAGGCCATCTGGGTGGTAGCTTTTGTGGCCTCTCTTTTCCTGGGACTAGACTATGGTTTACTTACTGCAGTAACGTTTGCAATGATAACCATTATTTACAGAACACAAAGGTCAGATTTCTTTTTTTCTCCAAATTAGTATTTGCCGCTCTCCTGGGGGGTTTTGTTTGTTTGAAGGGTACAAATAACCAGAAGACCTTTCCTCCCACTGTACTGTATGCAATGTAGAGCCTGCTCCATCAGGTAGGTCGTGCAGGGCATGATGTGTGGCTGTGGTCCAGAGTTCAAACATTATTTGACAAGTTTGTTCTGGGAGCAGAGCAATTTTTAGAAACTGCAATATGTTTTCCTTSAACTATCTTATTCACAAAGTAATCAATGGAGTTGCACCAGTTTACACCAAAGCGAGCTTCCCCCTGTAACTTTGCATGACTTGACTTGTGCTTTTCCATGAAAAAGACAACGTTACAGTGCTGAGTTTCACAATTATTTTCATATTGACAGCAACAAACCTGTGCAGTCACCAATGATCTGTTGTGTTCCCTCCATAAACTGCTCCAAATCCCTGCTGCATTTGACTGTGTTTAGATATGCATGTAGCAGCCACACACTGCAAAATGGCCATTTAATTTTCCATATATATGGAACTCGTATTCTCCACCTTGGAAATGGCAATACTGAAACACATTTGCTTCTGTCTGTCTGCAGCCCTCAGTACAGGATCCTGGGCCAGATTCCTGACACGGACGTTTACTGTGATGTGGAGGAGTATGAGGAGGTAGGAGGGCATTTCCAAAGCAGCCTCCTGGGGGAATGCACTGCTTAACCCCAACATCCTGTGTATTTACTGCTGCYTGCGCATAACTCTGCTGAACTTGCACTTTTAGGGGAAAAGAAATATCTATCTATCTMTATATAKAGAGATAGATAGATAGTTTTAGCATTTTGAGCAGAGCAGCTTCTCTTAATATCTTTTATACTAAATAAACATTCATCCACCTTCGATGAGCTAYGTTGCACCAGCTAGTGCAAGGTTTATAGGAACAGTGCTGCTGAGTGCTGTGCATACAGGCACACACAAGGTCATTCCCCCTCATTCATTCCCCCATAGCTGAAGTGCATAAAATCCCAGGAAGCCAGAACTCCAGCTGGTCTGATCCTTAAAACTGCACAGGCTGCTCGGAACAGCATTTCCCTGCTCCTCCTTCCCTGGTCATACATGATTAATGGCACAGCTGCTCCTCATACTCTTAAATTCTTGTAAATGCCATTTTACTCAGCCAAAAGTTGGTGAAGACAATTGATYCTGTAAGTATAATGGACATAAACATGCTGCATTTATTCAGAAGCAGCAGCTAGGACTTCTCTGCACTTTTTGCCATGTTTTCTCAGAGAAGTCGCTGGGAAGGCCACCCCCTTTGCTTAGGAACCAGTCCTAAATATGTGTGAAAAGAGGCTGCTCTAATGCAAATACATCCTCTCACACTGTTCTGCTTTGAATGTGATAAAAAGCAAAATTATCTGTGCATATGTATATGGCCCCATGCAAAGCAGAGGAATATAATGAGCATTTCTTCCTCCTGTGTCAGGATGGGCCAGGCTGGATCTCTGCTGCAGGCCAGATCGTTTTCATTTAGAATGTCAGAGTCCACACGAGCCCAAGCCTATTTAGAGGCTACTCCCTTTAAAGGAAGCAGGGATGGTAGTAAGACCTAGGTAAGGGCCTGTTTAAAAAAAATGAAATTAAAAAAATCTTAAACATTGAAACTAAGAACTCTAGGAAATACTTATGTGTAGGCATACATAGAGATCATTAATCTGGTAGGAGGAATGTAAGATCAGAGGAATCAGTTCTAGATCTGCATGATTTCTTTTTGTAAATACCAGCTGCAGATAACAATATTAAACAGATATTTATTTTTGCAGTTTTTTTTTTCATGATTGTAGGTTTCCTCATTACAAAGAGAGAGAGAGTTATTACCTAACATCACAGAATCAGAGTAGTTGAGGTCAGAAGGGACCCCTAGAGCTCATCCAGTCCAAGCCCCTGCTCCAGCAGGGACCCCCAGAGCACGGGGCACAGGGCGGCATCCAGGAGCCTTTGGAAGATCTCCAGAGAAGGAGACTCCACAGCCTCCCTGGGCAGCCTGGGCCAGGGCTCTGGCACCCTCACACCAAACAAGTTCTTCCTCACATGCACATGGAGCTGCCTGGGTTTCAACTTGCACCCGTTGCCCCTTGTCCTWCCACTGGCCACCACTGAGAAGAGTTTGGCCCCTTCCTCCCTACATTCCCCCTTCACGTATTATTGTAGTATGACACAGCGTGGGGTGTTTTGATCACCTTGCTGGGAAGGTGGCTCTGCTCGTGACAGTGCTGGCCCTGCTGGGCTCCCTACCTTTGGGTCTCCCTGTGTGCTGTGAGCAGGCAGGTGGCACACAGGTAAATATTTGCTTTTCTGCCAGAGAGGGCAGTGCTTAACTGCACACACTCCTATGCTTTTTTCCTTAGGTTAAAGAACATCCCGGAATAAAAATATTTCAAGCTAATACATCGCTTTACTTTGCCAATAGCGAGGCATATATGGCTGCCCTGAAGAAAAAGGTGAGTAAAGCAAATTCCTTTATGTCCTGTGTCTGGAAAACTCCACCTGGCTCCTGAAACAAGCCCAGGGCTCAGGCTCCTCTGCAGGAACTCCCAGCCCTTCAGCCCAGCCCCGGCTGCTCCATGGGCTGAGGCTGCCAGTAAGTTCCCAACCAGCTGCAAACCAGCAGCAGAGCAGGGGGGATGTAGCCCGATATTAACTTCTTGTGGGGGAGAAGTCAGGTGGTGGGMACGGCACAGGCTGTGCAATGCGTTTGTTTTCAAAAAATAAGTAGTTGCTGGATGGAAAGTACGAGATTAAAGGCATCCTTCTCAAGGAATAAACATGACTGCAGTGTAAGACCATGGAGTAGAGTGCTTTAATGTATCTCAGGAATAACAAGGTACCTGCTCATTGAGCTCCCTCCCCTGTGTTTGATGGGCAGGGAATGAGGACTGGGAAGCAGCAAGGGCAGAGCTGCCTCCCCCAGCTGGCAGCTGTGGACCCCGCAGCGACTGCACCCTGACTAACTGTGAAACGTCTTTCTGTAGCTGCCCTGATGAGTGTTACACAGAACRGGAGGGTGGTGCTTTCCTTCACAAAGCCAGAGGTATTAGCAGCTTGTGCCCCACAGCACTTTTCTGCCCTTTGCTCTGTGCACCCAAATCAACCCTCTGCTGAAACATGGTGCCCTCTGATTTCAAGCAAGGAACGTGATGCATCTCCTCTCCGTATCACGCAAAGATTATTCCTTCCTACTTCACACTATCACCCCTACCAAGAGAAGCTGAATAATGCAGGCTCGTACCCTAAATTTATGACAGTGATCAGTTTAGCTTAAACTGATACTTCCATGCCACCCCAGCGAGCTGAATCTCATGTGATCCTGCCTCTCTCTCCACGGCAGAGCGGAGTGGACCCCTGTGTTATCTTAGCAGCAAGGAGGAAAGCCCAAAAAAGACAYGCCAAGGCGGTGAAGAAAGCAAAGGAGCCCAAGAAGAAAGCAGTCCTGAAGCTGGTGAGTTCTTGGGTGAAAATTCCGCTCCGTTTTATCTAACACACTTCCTTGTGTCAGCATCCTTGTTTACACAGGGTAAAGAGTGCCACGTGCATGGGAAGGCTTAGGGACACCTTAAATCCAAAGGCAACGAAGTGGGGGGGGAGGACGGGGACCAGCCCTGCAGAAGGACTGGTGGTCACTGAGCTGTGTTTGTCGCCCTTCCCAGACCAASGACGTGGAGGCGGGAGTGAAACATGAGATAGCCAACGAGGAGGTGCCCGTCAATGGGAGACTCACGTGYGCAGATGAGAGCGGGCAAGAGCGGCCTCCTGAAGAACTTGAATACTTTGTGGAGCCAAAAACAAACATCCACTCCTTAATCCTGGATTTTACTCCAGTGAATTTTGTGGATTCGGTTGGAGCAAAAACACTGAAATCAGTAAGTAGGCACTGAAATCAGTAATTTGGGTACGTGGGATGTAAGTGCCAGCTGAAGTGTAACCCAGTACCTCACATGGTGAGCTTGGATTCTGTAACTTCAGGATTTTCGGCTAAATTTGGGAGAATTGTGGAAATTGCTGCTCTCTCAAGTAGCTTCTACCTTTCAGATCTATAATGTGTYCGATGATATGGCTGTGTTTAACCTAGCTTAATTCTGTTGCAGATTATAAAAGAATACAAAGAAGTTGGTGTCGGGGTCTGTATTGCCGGCTGCAGTGGTGAGTGGAGTTTTTGTGATCTCTGTGGGAGACCTGGGTGTTTTGTCTCTTCCTCCCCTGGCCTTGGATTTCTTACTGCCAGGAACTTCAGTAATATCAGAGCTTATTTCACCTACAGCAGACTCAGGGAAAGCAACCCCCATTGATTAGAGCCTTTGCTTTAGTGAGAATAAAGCACTGCTCTAATGAGTTCTGTGAGAGCTCAGCCCTGCTCGCATTTATTTGAGGGGCAAATCATACGTGTCACACCTAGCTCAGGCTCTTCACATTGTTATAATTGTATATAATGTCCTGAGGGGAGAAGCTGCCATGTTCCTAGTTCTTGACATTCAAACTGTGCCAACAAGAATAGGCTTCTGTGTTATCGTGGAATAAGAGAGCTACRTTTTCTTGAATGCAGCTATCACACAGTTCCCAGAATCCCAGGATGGTTGAGGTTGGGAGGGACCCCTAGAGCTCATCCAGCCCCCTGCTCCAGCAGGGACACCCAGAGCACGGGGCACAGGGCGGCATCCAGGCGCCTTTGGAAGATCTCCAGAGAAGGAGACTCCACAGCCTCCCTGGGCAGCCTGKGCCAGGGCTCGGGCACCCTCCCACCAAACAAGTTCTTCCTCACATGCACATGGAACTTCTTGTGTTTCCCTGCATATTTAAAATATTTTGAGTAACAACAGCTTAATTTGTATCTTTTGTATCTACTGATTTCTTGTGGGGGAAAAAAAAAACGAAGCTAGGAAATCAAGTCTTCCTCCTGAGATCCCTTTACCTCCAGGCATCGTACTAAAGGGTTTACAGCGGTGCCCTGCCTGGGTTTATTTTGCAGGCCCTGTGCTGGGGGAGCTGACGAGCCTGCAGTTCTTTGGAAGCCCCGTGACGAAGGGCCGGCTGTTCCCCAGCGTGCACGACGCCGTCCTCGCCTGCCGCGGCCGGGAGGCCCCTGCCCCACAGGCCGCCCCCGGCCCCTGAGGGGCGGCGGGGACACAGCACCAGGCACAAGTTGGGCCCATAGAGACTCTTCTCCAGTATTTAATTTTGCACAGTTTAAGGAGAGCCTAAGGCTTTGGCATCTACGGGTTYGGGGCGGGCGCTTATTCACTGTAGGAATAGTGGGTGAGGAGTTTTTGGAAGCCTTTTATGCTCTTTGTTTCCTTGCTGAGCCGGGGTGTAGCCTTGCAGTGACGCACAGCATAAACTCATGCAGGGCTGAGGAGAATTTGGTGTGTCCTGCTGCAGACTAAATCAGAGCGTAGCAGAGGGAATAGCTGCACTGAGCTGATTGCACTTAACGAGCTGCAGGTAAAATAGTGAAACACAAAGTAGACGAGGTGACATTCCTACTCCTGATGAGAAAACGGGCACTTTAACTCACTGCAAAGTGGGATCTTGCAGGAAATAACCGTCCTGCGGTGGCAATGCACTGTACCAGTGTCTTGAAGTAATTTTCGTAAATCACACTGAGGGTCTGATGGCAACATCTGCATACGACAGATTTATATAAACTTAGACTAATCTGCCAGCTGGATTAATGAAGTGACAYGGTGGCATTGGCTGCTGCTGGTTTTAAACCTGAATGGTACTCGTTTTTTTTTTTTTTTTTTTAAAGCCTCTCTCAACAATACTGATCCACTTTTTGCCTAAAAAATAGTGCTTTGGGTGAATTTTGAATTAGGATCTCATAGTTTGTTAGAATTATCAACGTTAGCAACATTTTTACTATCACTGCCAGAAACTTAATTACACTTTTTTTTTAAAAAAGAAAATGGAATTGTTTTGGAGCTGATATTAATTTGGCTTCAAAGTCTCAAAACAAAACTGGTTTAAGGCTGAGATCAGGTCTAGTAAGTCAAGAAATGATGCCCTATATGTATTTTCTTAAGTTGGAATAAGTAGGTAGACTTCAAGTCTCAGTGGTCCAAGAGATTTTTTTTCAAAAACATTTTCTATTGCCAGAGCTGTCTTCCTGCCACCACTGCTGTTCCTGCCTCGGMTTTGAAGTGCTTTTTGAGACAGACGTAGGTAGATGTGCAAAACCTCTTCCTTTTAATGAAGCCCTAGTTTGGTTTTGTCCTTACAGCCAGCCTCTATGGTACTGCTTGGCTGCAGGTGTGAGAAGCGCAACACAGAGCAATCCAAAGAGAAAAACCAGCAAAAAGAGCTGCGGTTCCTGTCTCTGCCGGGCCCAAGTCCTTACAGAACTGGGCAGGTAGGAAGGAAACGGCCTCTCTCTGGTGCTTTCCCAGCACAGGGGAAGTGGGGAGTTGGTCACGGAGGCCCTCGGATCAAAGGGCCTCTGCACAAGGGAACCGAAACCGCTGCCTCCCTCCTGAAGGCAGGACTCGAGTGCTCCTGTTCTGCTTCTGCCTCTGCTGCAATCAGGTCTCGCTTCAGGTAACCGTTTCCCAAGCCCTGGGGCAGTAGGAAAAGGTGTTTCCTTTCCTGGGTCTCCGCTCCCAGCAGGAGGGGAACGTTCTGCATCGGAAGATGCAGCTTCGCTGGACTTCAAAGGGTGGATTTTAGTACATTTACATTATGTGAACACAGGGTGTGTGTTTATTTAAGCAACTTTTTGGTACATTTTATAATGTTAACTAGTTTAACAAGATGTATCTACATACAGTATATTTTTCTACTTTCAGCTTGTTGCAGCTTGTTTTTGACTATATAGTCTCTTCAGTTCACATCAAAACTGTGTCAACTTTGGAAATAAAATGCTTATCAGGACTTGCCCMTCTTCTCCACTTTGTCTGGGCAAGACTTGTGTATGTGGGACCACCTGAAAGACCAGTTGATAAACTGGTATCAGTGGTGTTGTAAGCTGCTAAAAGAAGATCTGTGTTTTCCACAGTGCAAGTGGACAAGKTGCACAGTGCAAATACTTGCAAACAAAATGACAAATTGTTGAAACAGGCTACGTGGTCCAAGAGGGTAATYGGACCATTGATAATTATCAGCCTGTTAATGTTGTCAGCACATCGGGACRCTGTCAGGATCACACTCTGGGTTAGCAGCACCTTAGCCAAGCCCTATGAGACTATGAACAGAATTAGACTATATCGAAGTTACACATTTTTGGAGCAGGAATGGAAGGAATTCATTCTTCAGGGCTCTAATATCATACTTGTTTCTTCCTGCCTCTTCACCCAGCACTTCACAAAAGCCAAAGAGTCTCAACCAAAGCTGCCCTAAGCACCATCTAACTGTGGATCCCTCTGTCTAGTACATGGAGGCAGCAGTGCCTCCTCCTCTTCCTCACTTCTTCTCCTGCACAGTTCCTGGTTTTCAGGTGCTTGGCACCAAGCTTAGAGCACAGTGGAATCACTGGCCCCASGGGCCTCTTTGAGGGCTGTTCCTGGGGCTTGGGAAGCTGCAGTCGCAACAGTGCTTGGATGTCACCGAATCCCAGAGTGGTTGAGGTTGGGAGGGACCCCTAGAG